CTAGTAGCGATGCCCTTGTTGCTAGTAGCGATGCACTTGTTTCTAATAGCTTCTTGTTACTACTAGTAAGGCACTTGTTCCTAGTAGCGATGCCCTTGTTGCTCGTGGCGATGCACTTGTTTCTCATAGCTTCTTGTTACTACTAGTAAGGCACTTGTTCCTAGTAGCGATGCCCTTGTTGCTAGTAGCTTCTTGTTCCTATGTAATGCCAGGAGCTACTAGTAGCTTCTTGCTCGCTAGTTGTAATGCACATTCTTGTTTCTCGGTTGTCAAGCGCTTTAATTACAGAAGTCACAGAAGCGTGTAGAAACGCAACATGGCCTATTTGGTAGGCTAGCCTTACTAAATGTTGCTCAACGAAATCACTGACCAGCTGTGAGAATGCAGCAATGGACTGGCAAAGCAACATGAAATGTGTCGTCAGCAGGAACGAGTAAGAACAAGTGCCACGCTAGTAGTAACAAGTGCCACGCTAGTAGTAACAAGTGCCTTACTAGTAGTAACAAGAAGCTACTAGGAACGAGTAAGAACCTGACACTTGACACGAGCAGTGAGGTGAAAGCATACCAAGAGGTGGAGGCCATCGCTTTTAGGAGAAAAGAACACTGTGGATTCTGGGTTTTCCACGGTTCTCGTTCTATTTTTTGTGGTTTACCACTTCGCCACTGTGGTGACGATCTTCAGAACCCACTACCTACCAAACCCACTTGTGACTTCTTTGGAGCACCAACTGCTAGCTTACAGCATCTCCAAAGGGTACCCTAAGGTTTTTCAAGGGAGCCAAGGTTCAGATCCATCGTACAATGACTTTGGTGACAATGACTCTGGTCATTTCTCTTCTCGCTTCTTTCTATCTCTCCTTGTGTTTCACGTGTGCCCGCGACTGGTACGGAGTTGTGCCGCAATATTCTGCAATCACAATATTGCTGCTTTTCCATGCATGCTGTTTGGTGTCAGCGTTTTTGAATGTTTGATTACGGGCGGCTTCTTGTGCCTCAATCTTTTGGCATGACCTGATGCAAACAAGAGCATCTTGCAAAGAAGCTTGACATTTCTGCAAGGCTCTTGGTCCCAGTCCGCGAATTGGTGAGAGCCTGTGAATCGGAATAGTAGAGATTAAAAAAGACAATGTCATTTAACATTTTGTGTTATATTGGGTTGCTTTGGACAGTCGAAGTCAGGATCGGCCGAAGATGAGTTCGACATGCTGCAAAAGGCCACCTGGCCGACAGACCAGGGACTTTGGAGATAAAAACGTTGCTTCGGAAAAAATGACACACGCAAACTTTTAGTTTCTTGTTCTTGCTTTTTCTCACTTTGGAGATAAAGACTTGTCCAGCAGAACCGCAAGAAACGACTAGACACATCAGACATAGCATTTCGCCGACAGATTCCAACTTGAGGAACAAGTAGAAAAGGACTCATAACATGTGTAAATGTGTATTGGTCCAACTCGACATGCAGCTCAACCGAGTGAAATAGTTTTGATGCACCATGATGCACTAGGCAACTCGAAATAAGTCTTAGGATATAGTCAATGGGGGATCTATTCATATTGACCAAGTGCCAAGTAATTAGTGTCATTTTCCATTTATGAAGTCAATGGTAGTAAGGTTTGCTTGCCCCTGACTTGAATGGTGTGCAAGGTAGCTGCAGCAAAGATCCAGCGGCGAAGCAAAGAATCTTTACAGCGGCCTTGGACCTAGCCGCTTTAGCCTCCTTGAGCAAAAGCAGATAGAAAGCCAGTCCGGAGTCGGGGGAGAATGTAAATTTGTGGGCACACAGCACCAAACAATTCAGAACTCAAACCGGGCAAAGCCGTGTGTTTTCAATTGCGTGCACCAATCGCCCAATACACGAACCCAGAGAAAGTTGCGCAGCGGATCTATTAGCTGTGTGTGTGTCTCGGATTCCAGCTCGCCATGCTTTGCGCCACTGCAAGGAGATAGACACGTTAGAAGTCGCATTAAAAGGTGCTCCTTGACGCCATTCTTAGTAGCCTTTTAGATGCACATGAGAGGGGTCTCGCCACTATATCCGCGAAAACGTCACGGTGTCGAGTGATGAAGAGCTCTTCCATTGGAGAAGTGTGCATCATGCGAAGCGGGTGCGGTTCGAAGAAGTGTTCGTCTTTGGCCGAGAGAGCCAGAAGTATCCAAGAATCTAGCTACCCTGTTCTATTTGGTGAAGTAAGTGGAATACAATGGTCAACTTGCGACTCGAGGTGATTTGCAAGCTCAAGTTGGTGATGTGATACGTGTATTAAAAATCACGAAAGCCAGCCGATAGGCAAGGCTTGAGGTAGGGGAGCGAACGAAGAGGTGGCCACTTGGTAGTGAAAATGAATGGTTTTTGGTGGTGTTGTGATGCCGGTGATATAATTGACGGCCGGTGGTGCATCATTAGAGTCACGAGGGGAGGCAACGTAAACCGTTTTCTACCAGGGGTGGGAGTTCATGTCAATGATAGGAAAGAGGGGACAACGGGACGCGAAAAGTGGTTGGAATTCCTCCAGAAAAGGAAGATGTGCGCCCCTCATGGCCAGTGAAATAGTGTGAAAGGGAGGGAGATGTGTGTGTGTGTGTCTCTTAAGACACTGTGTGGTCTGTGAGGAACCAGAATGCTGTGGAGAAGGTGGAAGACAAGCATAGCGTAGGAGGACGTGGTGGGAAAAGAGTGTTTGCAAGAAATGTTAGTGTTGCTTGGGGGTGCTTTTTTCAATGGTGAAGACGCCTGTCAACCATACGAAAGGGCTCCCCATATGGGGTGCGAGTTCATGTAATGCTGTGGTCCGTTGAGGGCAGGAAAGATAACAAAATGCAGCGGGCAAGCTTTGAATTGCTTGGGCTGCCCTCTTTTAACCGTGAAGAGGTCTAGCTGCCGGATTCAAAAGGGCACCCCATATGGGCTGGGAGTACATGTGGACGAGACAGGCATAGTGGAGGAGGCCGTGATAGGAAAAGAGGGATTGCGAGAAACGATGTGACCCATTCATTGAGAACAGGGAGGGAACAGAATGCAGCGGTTGCTTGGGGGTGCCCTTTTTTTATGGTGAAGAGGCCTGCTGACCAGACGCAAAAGGGCGCCCCATGTGGAGTGGGAGTTCACGTACAAAATGGGCATAGCGGGGGAGGAGGTGATAGGAAAGAGGTGGAGCTCACCAGAGCTCTCGCATTCACCCTCCATAACCATATCGATATTTTTTACGGCGGCTGGCTTTCGTCCCCTCCCTACCCAGGTATGTATGTAATGTGTATATATATACACACCGTCATACAGTATACATGTTAGAAAGTGTTTTTCTTTGATGCGGGGTTTCCTTTCAGGAACTCGTGGCTTGCACAGCGCACTCCACAGAAATTCGCGATGAGAGCTGGACAGGTGGCGGCGGCCAGGCACAATATTATGCGCACGTGAAAAAGCTCCTAGTAGCGTCCTTGTTCCTGGTAGTAAGGCCAGGAGCTCCTAGTAGTTTCTTGTTACGCAGATTTGTGCCTCCCACCTGACAGACCACTGTAGCAAGGGCCTCCACCCTAGCAGCGATGGGTGGTGTGATTTTTTTGCGACGGTGTTTTGTTATTCTTGTGCGATTTTGCCTTGTGGACTCGTGCGGACACGAACACTTTGAGAGGCATTGGAAAGGGAAGCATGTGCAGATTGCAGAATCCTGCATTTTCTGCTTGCCAATCTGGCACCTCTCACACTTCCATCCATCAATGCATTGAAATGTGATGGTTTTTAAGGTAGTGCCGTGCATGCTGACTGGTACATAGTGAATTGGTTGGTGAAGTGTCAGACAACGGCACCCATGTCTAAACAGCGAAGCCGTAGATTGCCATAGTTGGAAAGGGCCCAGTTTCAGACCCATCACGTGAGAGTTCCAGAACTTGCATGGTCTTGCACACCAATTTTTAACACTCCACCAGTTGGAATGCCGAGTGTTACAGACGGGCAGCCAGCAACTGTCCTTGTCAAGTGCTTGTCACAGAGTATCCTCCTTAGGCTGGCGGCCATCGCTAGTAGGCTAGAGGCCATTGCTAGTTACTGAAGATCTTCCTTCCTCTTCGCTTTGCCTTTTCATCGTGTGTGCTCCTCCACGGGTCTTCGACATCACTGTGTCGCGCTGAACTTGACCGGCCAGATTTGGTGGGAATGGTGCTTTTTGCGACAGTAATCAGGGTATTTCCAGACAGTTATGTAGATCGGTGTTTTTCCGACCAGTCACCGGTGTTTTTTGCTACGGTGACTAGGTTCGGTGTTTTTTGCACCAGTAGTCTGGTGTTTTTTGCGACGGTGGTTCCTGGCCGCTGTTTTTTGCAATGGTTCCCCCACACCGCTGTTTTTTGTGCCGGTGATTATTGTTTTTTTCGACAGTGGCGGAACGCGGTATATCAGGAAGCATCTTGTCAATCAGTAGAAGCAGTAGTAGTAGTAGTAGTAGTAGTAGTAGTAAGTAGTAGTAGTAGTAGTTGTTGTAGTAGTAGTAGTAGTTGTTGTTGTTCAGAAATTTGCGTTGTTGTTGTTGTTGTTGTTGTGGTTGTGGCCGTTGTTGTTGTGGTTTTATTTGCGGTTGTTGCTGTTGTTGTTGTTGTTGCTGCTAGCGGTGGGGGTTTGTATGGTTGTTATTGTTGTTTGTTGTTTGTGGTTGCTTGTTTGCTGTTTGTTGTTTGTTGTTTTTATGTTGTTGGTTGTCGGTTGTGGTTGTTGTTTGTTTGTTGTTGGTTTTTTGTTTGTTGTGGTTGTGGTCTGGTGTTTCATTTTGAAAGTGCTTGGCACGCAGGGGATTGGGCTTTAAACAGTTTTTCGTGGCAGGCGCATTGGTACAATGTATGTATTTATGTACGTATCTATGTATGTATGTCTGTAAGTATGTCTGCATGTATGTATGTATGTATGTATGTATGTATGTATGTATGTATGTGTGTGTGTATGTATGTCTGTGGGCCACATGCATGCATGATATGCCATAAGAAAGCGGGCGGGGGTGCAGGGGGAGGGCGCGCGCCTTCCCCCGCGGCAAACAATCTGAGAAAAGCGCGCCGAGCGCGTATCATCTTGTATCTATGTGTCTTCGCCTGATCTTGCTGCGTGCGCAAGGATGTATGTATGTTGGTATGTATGTATGTATGTGTGTGTGTCACACCCTGGTTCTAAGGGTTTTCCGCACCTTCACCACCTTTTCCACCATGACAGGGAATTTCACAGGCAGGGGCGTGTGACACTCTTCTCCTATCACACGCAACGAAGCTGTGGAGAAGAGTGGGAAGGGAAACTTGGCCAGTTTCCTGTACCTGCGACGCAACTGTTGATCAAGCCGTTCCACTTTCTGCCTTTTTGTTTCATGGTGGTTCATGATACCTTCCCTTAAACCTTTTCCTTCCGCATTGCAGCTGCTGACTGTCACTTTCTTTTGAGCGCTTTCGGAAACATTTTTAAACAATACTGTTCTGCCGACTCATTCGCCTTGCCGTTCCCTCACCTTCCTTCCCAACGTGGCAATTGAGTCTAACTGAAAACCCAAGTTCGAAGTGTGGACCGCTCAGTCTTCCCACGTGGGTACTGGGTGTGACCCTCCGAAAGGAGGCGCCGAAGCCATTCCGGATTTCATTGACCCTGCTTGTTTATAACTGACCTTTTGCTTGTTCAATTTATCCCTGAATTTCCTGATTTTCGAGCCGCCGGGCTATAAGCGACGGAATATTTACCCAAAGCTCTGACATTCATTCGTGTTGTGCATTGCTACGTTCCTCAATTTTTAATTTTCCAACCGCAGCCGTTTAACCGACGATCAACGTACGCATGCTCACATCCCGGAGATTACACTGCATGCCGAGATTTCACCTTAATTAATTTTTTCACAGCACACGTACTCAGGTTCCAGAATTCACTGCCATCTTCAAATTTCTCACTTCCGCTGCTGTGCCGCGCCGGCGCCATTGTCTGCAGCCTTTCGGATTGACCTCTCCATCGCTCTTCACATGCAGTTTCCCTGGCCATATCCACAATGGCCACCACCGTGTACCGCATCCACAATACCCACCGTTAGCACTCAGTGGCACCATTCTCCACCACCGGCACCTGTCCCTACCGTTCTGTCTCATCCACCACAGCAGTCAATCGTCCCTCACTTTCAGACCGCTCCACCGCAACTGCCACCTCCTACGTGGCCACATCCCATGCCAACACATCCTTCACCGGCACCAACTTTTGTACCTCACACACACACACGCCTATCCAGCACCACCTCAGATGCAGGCATTTGAGACCATGCCAACACAACCTTTCCACCACCCTCTTTGCAACATGCATCACCAGCGCCATCGGCTCCACCAGCTCCGCAAGCACCACAACCACAACCACCAACCCAGCAAGCTCCCGTTCACTGGGACCACTCTCAAGGCGTTTGGCAGCCTTACTCCCTCTTTCCATTGCTCACCCTTCGCCACATCAAGCATCAGCCCCACCCACCGTTGTTCCTTCTGATCCAACACCCCCCACGGTGGCACCCACGCCACCCGCTCCTGACGTTCTGAACGTCCCCACACCAGCCAATCCCACTCAGACCACCACTGCTACAACCGCTACGCCACCCTCCACGTCACCAGCCACTCACTTTGCTCCACCACCAGCCACCGCTCCACCACTACCGCCACCGCTGCCACCCCCAACGCAAGCACCTTCAGTACCCACTCCAG